CGTTTCTCTTTATTTATTCTTAATATTCTTTTTATCGTTTCATTGACTTTTCCAGTATATTTAATACGATGAATCAGATCGCACATTCATGTCAACATTAACATTGTAGCATATATGTATATATATTTATCGCATTCGGTGGGAACTTGTTCCATGGATTACAGGGCACCGGTAACTTCAATTACGATCGAATATAAATTCTATTTTCAGTTAATGATAGTCACGAGACTCAAGCTATATTTGTGTGGTTTGGAACAGTGATTACAGAGACCGATAATATTCCGTGAATTTCGCGCCATGCGGAGGAAGCTCGAAGACATCTGTACTTCATATGCTGAAAGGTAGCATATCATTGAGATTAATATCCGTATAATTAATAATTTTGAATATATAAATGTATTAACGCAGCATTTATAATTTTTATGGAAAAATATTACTTTTTATAAAAAATATTTCAACTTGTCGCATATGTTTTAACGTCGGATGTGGCTTTCATGTAATTTTGAATTTATACAAGAACAAAAAATATTTTATTTTGCAAAACAATCTTATGCGACTTATCGTTAGAAGAAAATATAGAATCTTTGTAAATTTAATAAAAAAGTAACGTTTCGTGAAAAAGCATTTAATCATGTTGATACAGTTTGTATCAATGAGAATGTACGCGAAGCGTGCGTGTTCTTCTTTTATAATTATAAAGCGTTAGATATATGTACTAGTAAATTGCTCGGATTCTCTTCTTCACTTTCCAATATCGAACCAGTTCGAAACACCATGCACGATCTTTCTAATCGGCGCGACCATGTGACTGCATCCCGCAGAGTCAATCGCCTTCCTCCCGTTCCCCCGTCCACCCCGAGAGAACCGCGTGGTGGATAGCGACGATTGCAAGTCGGCAATTTAATACGAACGCGATAGTGTACGAAGGAGGACCGAATGAAACTCCGAATGAGGCAAATGGGGGAAAGAGAGGAACGGGGGAGAGACCGACCGGTGGAAACGACTGAGAGGGAGGACCGGGATAGTAAGCGGGGGTGGTTGCCAGTAGTGGAGGCCGTGGTGTTTGGAGGTTAGACCGCAGTTACAATATCGCTTGATTAGAAATGTACATAGCGTATATGCGCGCGGGCCGCATATCCAGATGGTGGGTGGACGGGTTGGGTCGGGTCGATGCCTGGGCAACTCCATAGTTTAATGCACGGACCGTGGAACTTGCAATAAGGAAGGGTGAACGGCGAGCGGGTGGTTGGTGGCCGCGGGGCTCTTGTGGAGGATGGAGAAAGAGGAGGAGGGGGAGGGTAGCTCGGCGAGGCGAAGCGGACTTGGGGATGTTGCGCTGGCTAAAGGGGGGAAACAGTGTGGCACGGAGTCTCTCTGTGTGCATACTCGTGCGCACACATCTACGCAAACGATAGTTTTAGTCTGTGGCATAACGCGATCGCGCTACTTGCGGGGGTGGTGGCCATAGGGCCCTCCGGAGGCGAAATGCCCGCGTTGGTCTCGTATACCATCGCATACCTTTGCATTTGAACTTACTCGCGACGCCAATTGGCTCGCAACGTTATCGCCGTCGCCGTCGTCGTCGATTTTCAGCCACCAATGACTCGAGAGAGCTCTCGATGAGACGCATTGTCGATAACGATATGCGTTATTTTCTTGCTTTATGTTGATTGCCAAAAGCAGTTCAACTACACGAACTACACGAACAGCTTTATCATAGTTACTTTTTTTCAGAACTTTGTGTATTGTTAAATAAGAATTATCGCTGAGGAACATATATACACAACATACTCACACACACACACATACTTGAGTCTTAAATTAAAATTATATATATTTATAAAAGGAAGATTATGTATTAATATATCCTCCTCTATAACTTTGTTAAAATTATATATATCTTTAAAAAAAAAAAAAGTTTTCTTTACGGCGACATTTACAAATTTTTGTTTGATAAAAAAATAAAAAAAATGTATAGTTAATTTTTATATATTATATAGTAAATATATACAAAAATTGCTAAGATATATATTTTTTTTTATGGCTTTCTGTTTTTGCACGATAATAATATTGAATTAAAACTTTTTTATATTTCAATTGTAAATTGCAATAAAAAGATATTTTTATTCATACTTTTTTCATCTTAAGGAGAGTGTGATAAATCTGAGATATTTCTGCATCTGTTATCTCTATAAGTCGAGCATGACAAGCTTTTACGAAGGTCATGTTTAAAAAGAGAGATATGCGCAGCTTAAGCCATACTTCTACATTAATAACGAAGGTGACGATCCGTGTTCTCACGGCGCATTTAGCGCTAAATGTAGCCGTATATAATTTTTATCTTACATTAACACTGAATGCGAATACTAAATAAAACTGAGAATTACATTCAGTATTAAATGATGTAGAGACGTACGATATATACATATATACTTTCGTGCGCGAATAAAGATCAAACGAACTGTGATTATCTCAAAAAAAAAAAAAAATAATAATAATAATAAATCGACCGTGCCTTTAATGTCACATTGTTGAGAGTACTTTAACATATCACCGTCCTTTATTATAATTAGTGGTCATTTTGCGACTCGATTGGCAAAGGGGAATGAGATTGTGATAAATATAATTTCGCAAACTCGTAGCTCGGAAACGCGGCAAAGGCGCCTCACGTGTTCATCTATGCGTTATCAAGATAGTTCTGTATTAAAGCTATACCTGGTTTCTAGTTTCTGGGACCGGCTACGCCTAGACTCGGCCGTTGACGCTACCGACGGAGTGCTCGTCCTCGAGGAATATTCAGCCATTCTCCCATTTCCAGCACCGCCTTTCTCGTTTCTCTGCGGCCGCACTCCCCTTACCGCTACCCTCCTCTCTTATCCTCCTTTACCATCTCCTCGATTCGACCAAAGTTTAGAGAGCTCGCGCTTGAGAGGAACGCCGAACGTCACTGCAATATCGCGTAGTGTTCCCGAAGAAGATGGTTGCAACGTTGAACATGATTGCCAAACTCGGAATAGCTTGCTCGTGGTTCGCTGCTCTTCGAATCAATACGAAAAGCGTATGGCAGGTTGAATATAGGTTTCCATATTCTGATCCCAGTTGGTTTCTCGCATGTCTGTACATTTCTTTTAATTTCTGAATATTTTCTTTATTGTAACAATGTCATATTCTTTGAAATTATTGAGAACTACTTAATCTCAATAATTATGTGGCAAATGATCGCGTCATTTAAGAGATTTTATTGCTACGTAAAGATTTAATTTAGTCAAATATTCTTTTGTCATTATAGCTCATAATTACAGAAATTATTCTCGCAATCTCAAATATGTTTTAAAATCTTGAAACGAAAACCAGCAATATTATTTTTTAACTTAGAAGCGCATTCACTTGGTGCAATGAACAAATTTGAAAGACCGATATTGCAAGAAGCTTATATCTGCGACGATGCCGAACGAGTATTTCTGAGAGCAGAGGTGCAAGACAAACGACGTTGTTTCCATGGGGGGATACCGAAAACAGCGGGCTGGACCGGTTCCTAGTAGTTAATTAGCTGAATAATGCAGCGTTAATCTAGTCAAAATTGCATACATCTAGACCACGTGTGTAGTTTCGTTCTGGTAAACTCACGAGTGTGGTTATTCACGCGCGCTCGCGCAATCCACGAGCGTGTGCAAAGTAGGATTCGCTTCGGTTGAACGCAAAGATCATCCCGTTACATATTTCAGGTGCACCATTTGCGCGGATAATTCTTTGTAGCCACGTGCCAATTGAATATTGATAGTCGCAAGAGAACGATTAAATCTGTCTAGATCGCGAAATATGTCATAATTTAAATGGTTAGGTGTCTGCGTCTTTGCTTTCGTCTTGCATTAATAAGTTTGCGACAGAGATAAATTTAGCACGTACACAAAAAAAGAGAGGGTAAACCTTAAGGTTTACCTTGAGTTATATATCCATATATATATTCATATACGTAAAGAAATGACAAAGGTCGTACATACGATAGTGATCTCGAGTAAAGGTCAGTATGTGTTTTACATTATAAAAGCAATCTTATATAGAAAATAATGATGTGGCGTACATCATGCTAAAACTATCGAAGTTTGCAGTTAAGCTCTACGTGTTATTATAATCGACGAAAAAAAAATAAAAATATAATACTTTGTCATATAAAGTTTCTAACTTCATCCAAGTAAAGAGACGTATTAATATCTCAATTAATATATCGATCACAAATAGCGAGAAAATCTGTCTATTAAGAAGTAAATTCCGATACAATATATATTAACATTTTTCTTTAATAGGTTATTTATCGAAATATATTTATTTGCAATCAAAGTCTTTTACTGACAGTATTCTCTTTATTCTCGTTGATTCAATAAAACAGTCAAAAGATCGAGCTGATGAAGCGAAGGGAGAATGTTTGAATGTGTACGAAAATACATGTATCCGTGCGCAAAGCGTACGTAATTTTCTTGCGACTCGGCACGGTAGCTTGGAAAAGGGAGGATAGAGAGAGACAGATCTTCTTTCCTCTTCCCGTCATTCTCCTACCCGTTCCGTAATCGAAAGTAATTATATTAATTGCATCGCGCATCCCCTGGACCGCTACGAGAGGTATTGGCCCGTCGATTAGTTCCACGCAAGTACACGCGCGTGTAAAACGCGTCGTTCACGCAACTTCATAGGTACTGGATCGAGGGGTACCGGACGAGCCAAGTTGCGCAATTAAACGTTAACGAATTAACGTCTCTGCGAGAGACTCTACGGCGAGCGTCGAGTTGTTAAATAAATGTCCGCGGTTGGGCTCGTGTAATTAGAAAGTGCGATCAGCGCAGCGGAGTGTCGCCGTTTCCGTCTAGACGAATTAATTCAGATTCACGACTAATTTTCTGTAAACATGGCGTACAAATTACGTATTTTTCGCTTCGATGTTTTGTTACGTCTTTCTATTTTTTTTTTTTCTACATTATTACACATCTTGCCTTTTATATTTTCAGATGTGGAGGCGCGGTCATCGATGGTCGATTCGCGTGCATGGTGTACATGTAAATAGAATTTATATTTACGGCGCTATAACCGGATCGGGCTAAACTACGGTAAGTATGCATCGCAGGATTAATAAATAACGATACGTTATGGTATGTCGATAACCTTGCACGGTATTGGAATTCTCATGTTCGAGGTCCGCCCATCGAAGAGGGGCAAAATTCTCCCGAAGGTTTCAATGCCCACCACATAGACAACGCCCGTTATTTCCTTATAATTACTCTATTTCCTATCGCGCGCGTACGGTCACGCCGAGGCCTGTAGGACTAAATGGGACTCGATGGGAGAAGACGGTATATATATTGAAACGCGATGCACGATCGGAACCAAGCGATGGAGGGACAGCGAAATGCGGCGGCTCGTCCGAAGATATCGAGGAAATGAATGGGAATGGGCGCCGAGCAAAATTGCACCGCGATAATTACCTATTAACTGCACTGTACCTGGCACCGTTGCTACCGTAAAGAATCACATTCATCTTTGCTCACGTGGATAAATGCCAAAGTGCTTTCTTCGTACTTTATAGTCCGTAAAAGTTGGAAAAATGAGTTATTTGCTACAATTTATGTCATTTAGTAAATGTGCTTTAAATTATCTGATTAATCGAACGGATTATTTAAATTATTATTAAGCGGGATTTCGAGGATTATAATAGATTTTCATTTTCCTTAATCGTTTTATCTATGCTATTTCTATTTCTAAATTAGATAAAATAGGAAATTATTTTTGTACAGTGCAAAATTTAGTCTTTCCTTTTATACTTTTCGTTACTAACGTTAATTAGAAGTTTATAAAATTATGGCTGAGAGACAAGAATTTAGCGGTCAAACTGACCAATTTGGTCGTTCAAGTGTAAATAATTTATACCTTACTACACATAAATTAAACATAGAAGCCTTTGAGAGTCTCGTGTAGCGGGTTCGCATTAGTCAACGAGCATTAATCAATAGACAAGACGGTAATCACAGGAACGTCCGGCAAGTAGGTCGATCGGAGGTTCACCAGAAACCTTTCGATCTTCGTTCGCCGCAGATGGAGATTCCTGGTCGCGCGATGAATGCACGCCTATGTGTATGTGTGCGCGCGCTATCCGGTTGCAGCGGACTGTGTGCAGCAACAGGGGTTACCCACGGCTCTGGCCGATGCTTTCGTCTTTCGAGATAGAGAGACGTTCCTGTGAAGACTGGAAAGCCGCGATCCCCGGTGCAGACCGGCCGAGATGCCTGGGGGTTGATTGATTAGAGGGTACAGTGTAGGAGAGAAACCGGGAGAGTTTCGGGGCGCGGGTTAGTTTGGCATGGGGCTCCTAGGTTATTTGGGGTCGAAGCGGGGTGAGAGGGGGGGAAGTTGGCGCAGAACGACGGCGGCGGCAGCGACGACGGCGGGTGAGTATGGGGAACGGTGTTGGATTCGAGGTAGAAGCAAGGTAAAGGGCGGTGGCGATGGACGGTCGGGCGAAGAAGGGTGGCGGCCCGTCCGGTGTTAGAGAAGGAAGGCTGGAGGCGGTAGTTCGAGGTGCTACAGTTTATAATAGTTGCCGCCGCCCTCGGGCCAACCGACCCTGCCCGCAACTTCCACAGAGTTGCTTAAATCTAACCTCCTCTCACGGGTACGCGGGACGATCAAGTGTGGTCCGCGGCTCGGTCGAAAGAATGTAGGTTACTCGGTCTCGGACGGCCGTCAGAGCGGCATCATTTTTGCGTCGACGAAGCTTCCGCTTGCCCTTGTCGCGATCGTGTGAAAGACAAGCCGGAAAGTAGTCACGGTGGAGAGAAAGAGCACGAACGGCTGCTTCGGGTCGCCAATAGTATATCCGCCGAGCGACAGCGCGCGTGTGCCGTAGATTAGTTTGTAGTTCGTCGTTAAAGAAAAAGCCGAGTTATTAGTTGTGGCTCAGAAGGGTCAGGCAGGAAGATGAGGAGGTCAGGCGGTCCGTGCTCGCGCGCGCAATTTAGCACGAGCTTATCAGATCCGTCGTACTTCGCAATTTATGCTACTTACTTAGACGCGCGCGTAATATCTTTCTTTATATTTATAAGAACAATGATTAATGACTGATAATTCTATTCGCAATTTAAATACAAACTATATTTCGAATCATATCCTTACATTAATTATATATTTTCTGTGACATTAAGTTTATATACATATATGTGAGAAGATATCTTAGACATCGTCTCTTTTCTTTTTTCATCTTCCAATCTAAATTTCAAGAAGATACTTTAATTAATTCGCAATTCGGTTTTCTCTTAACTGAGATAGAGTAATGTAATGATTATAGACTCTCTTCTTTCCGGCTTTCTCTCTTGCGAATTAACTTCGAAAGAAAGAAACTGCTTCAATATACACATGTACACGCACATCTATACAGCACACGATTTCTCGGTCCCGTGACAGCGGCCTCCGTTATAATTCTCCGTTATCTATGGAAATTCTAAACCATACTAAACAACAATATATATCCCAAAACTATGTAATTCCTCGTGCTTGCGCGTACACGGTATGCAATATGCTGCAGCGAGGGCTGCAAACTGGTTGCGGCATTAATTTGTTTTGCGTTGTCTTTTTGATAATTTATGATCTTTTGAATAAAATTTACGCATTAATTTATTTTAGATGCGTCAGATAATAATAACTAGATATTGAAATAATATTTGAAGATATAGTATATGAAAAAATAATGAGAGAAAGTTCTCTGTAAATATATATAATTGTTTGATAGAAAGGGAGATAAGGAAGACATTAATGTTGCATTCATACATTTTTTTGTAGCTATCGATTTTACTGTAGAAAAATCGCAGCGTTTTAAATTTACAATCTTTTTTGCTAAATTTGTTAAGCAATACACAAACTTCTCTTTAAAACTTTAAAATTGTTTTCAGAAGTATTTATATTCGGTCTTGTATAACTACCAATATTAGTTATTATTTACTTTGAATCTGTCCACTTTGGTACGAAAGTTCAATGGCATTTTCAGTGCGAGGATTGTTCGGATGTAACGACGGAAGTAGGAGATGCAATGTAAGTACATCGTGACTCTCGACTAAGAATTCGCGTCTTTTGGAGCTATCCATGCCTTAGGATAGCACATGCCAGTCCGCTATTACTTCCTATAACACTATCTACGCCAGGAAACGCCATTGCTCTCTCGTTCCTATGTGGTCCAGGAACGACGAGGATGATGAGATCTGCAGGCTTGCATCCTGATGAGACTATTAGGATGGCTTGATAAGTCCATAATATTCTGGTCGATGCTGGGCAACGCCGTCGACTCCACCCGGTGTCCTCGCCAAACCACTACCTCCTCCTCCTTTTCCTCCTCCTCTTCCTCTTCCTCCTCTTCCAACCACCTCTCGCCTGGCATCCAACTCCATCCCCTTTCGTCGTCGCCATCCCTTTTACGTGCACGTACGATGCCCGGCTTCGGTCATAGTGACGACAGGATAGGTGACGCTTCCAATTTCCATCGACTTTGTTAACCTCGTACTGTGGTCATTTCTCAGCAGAAGATAACTTCGATCGAACAAAGGACTTTCTGGAAAATCCGATATTTGTCTACGTAGTCAGTGAATTATGGAAGCATATCTTAAGAGTTTGTTGTTTAATATTAGCGATTTTTTTCTAATCACAACACCGTTATGTTAAATGATCGAGCTTTTAATATCATATAACTGTTAGAAATCTACGTGCCATCATATTTTTAATCACGTATTATTTTAAAGGAATTCTATTTTCTATTTATCATGATTCTTTAAAGACCACAAATAATAAATAAGGCATTTATTTATTCTGACATTTTAGCATGATTTATATAGTGAATCTTTTTTACTGCAGTAAAAATTCAATTTTAATTAGTGCTTCGCAATATCAGCAATGTTTCGAAAGCGTTCTCCAGAAGCCAGTCTCAGGGAACCTCGTCTCTTGCAGACAAACGGTCGATGTTGTGCCCTCGAAGCGCCTGAAATTAACTTTGAGCATTACAGATGTCGAGGCGCGCCGCGGCGAGAAGCTAACACCTTGTTAGCCTGACAAATTCGGTCCATTTCTCCTTCCTATCGTCCCTCACAACACTTTCCGTCTCCACCTACGCTTTCTATTCCCGCGACAATATCCTAGCGAGCCTTTACGAGAAATTGAGGAAACTCAGCTTTTAACCCTTTAAATGGATACGCAATTTGTAACTTGCTATAAGAAGCGTTATATTTCGTATCCATAAAGCAAAAAAAAAAAAAAGATCTGTTTTTTGCTTTTCGAATAGGCAATGTGTTACGTTTATCTATTTTGCTAAAATTTAAGCCATCTTTTGTAAAATTAATTGTAGTTTTGTGGTGAGTGTTTCTTCTGTATATGTGAAATAAGAAGAGTGAGTTCAATATATTTCAAACTTTATATAAACGAAATGTATATAATTCTCACAAGGCTTAATATGTACGTTTTGCTCTCTGTATTCGTGATGGCGTTGCTTCTCGCACGTATTTTGCGAGCCGGATGATAATCGACTTCTTACGCCAAATGCCGGAGCTGCCCTCCGTCTTCATCGGTCTCCCGACATTGGCGCGAATGGAATCCCGAGCAGCTGAGAGAGTCGTTGTACGTGCGGAGAGTGTCGAGCATCGTAGGACGCGTCGTCGCTTAATCGGGTCGTACCCTCTGTACTTGCGATCCTATACCTTTATCTCTGTTCAGCCTCCCTTTCTGGACCTCCGCGTCGTCGCGCAATCCATGACGATTGGAAAGTGATACCGAGAATTTCGAGAATTTCACTCGATATTGGACGATTTGCAAAGCACTTCCTTTGTGCCGCAAAGTGGAATGGGTGAAACGAGTGAATGGTATGGAGGGGGCAGATATCGTGGTGACGGATACGATACGATGTAGTCAGCGGTTGCAGGGGATGGCGGGGACGCACCGATGTATTTGCGACGAGGCGGAAGGGTAATACCATTGCATGGCCGAGGAGTGCCAATATCCGGCGTGGGCTCGTCGGCGGCATTTAATTGCGTTACTATTTCATCGCTAGAGTCCACGCCGAGGAGACTTTTCAATTGGGGTCGTAGTTGGTAGAGCAGTCGGTGGAGAAAGCCTTTGGTGGAGTTAGACATGTGTGCGGCGATAAGGATGGAGACTGAAAGCTGGTCCTTATCGAACTCGGGGGACAGGTTTAGTTCAGTTCTCTCGCGTTATTGAATCTGAATATTCGCGATGCTTGATATAAAAAGAATTATTGAACCAAAATTTCCGCAATTTGAGATAAATTATTTATCAAACAATGTTCAATTAGTACACTGAAAATATTGACTGTTCATATTATTATAAAATAACAATATAAAAGAAATTGAAAGAGCTATTATATGCTTATTACTAATTAATATTAATTATTTTGTGTTTTAGGTAAGTCGGTGATTATTATTAAACGACGATAAGCACTTCCAACGCAGAGGTAAGATTATTTAAAGAATATAAGCAATAATTTGTAAGAAATATTAAAATATTGAATATATATTAGCCAATTATATTCGACTTGTTACTTATTTCCTATTTTATGGAAATTGACATTACGCAAGTATATGCAGAAAAAAGTTAAAGTAAAGTAGAACAAAGTAAAATATATCTGAATTCTTTATTTATAAATATGTTGTGATTTTCCATAATTACATTTCTGCAATTACAAATTTTATTTTGCATCAACGTTATTAACGAAATAAGAAATTGTAGTGTCGATTTATGATTAGATATTCTCTTGAATTCTGCATATAGCTTAAGGTTTATAAAAACATTTCTATATCGAGCTCTGTAATTATTATATAAAAATATTTAATATTTTAATTATATATTGTGAATTATTTACCTCGATACAAATATGGCAATTATATTAAAGAGGTTCCTCGTTCCTTCAATGCGTTCCATTTCCTAAATGAAAAATAAAGGTGTGTATCCTGTTTTTGACCGCGATCTATATGTTCCGCCTGCATTTATTCTATCTGCCTGACTCGACACTTTGTGCCGCATC